ATTCACAGAAGCAACGGATGAAATTTCCTCAGAAATTTCCCTTTGCTTCACAAGATGGTAATATTTTCATGTAAATTGTGAAGTATCTTTTTTTGTATTCAATTTCATTTTACACAAACCATTTTTTTAATTAAGGAAAACATTTTACACCCCTAACTCGAGTGTAATCCTTTAATCGAGACTGTTATGTATGGTTCTTAAGCACATGAATACAAACCTTCCAAACATAACATGCACCTTTTTTATGTTAATAATGAAAACGGAAATTTTGGATTAATTATTAGTATCTGGGACTTTATTATAAAGGTCCATAAATTTCAGTCCAATTTTTATTACAATCGTACAAAATGATACATGGCAATCATTTTATCAAAAATTCACAACAGTAGAAATCCTTTTCTCGTTGCAGTGGTTATGGGACTAAGAAACGAACCTCGTACTAAAGGTTTACAAACAACCTTTCTGTTTCAGAAAACAAAATTATGTGAGGTATTCAGAAAGATATGGTATTTTTCCCTCCATATTCTCTTTGTGAATAAATTCCCATCTAGGAATGATAGTAGTAGTAGGTGTTCTCGAACGACGTGATCATTCTAGGCCCTACACTACTTTTCGAGAAATGACAGCAAGTGACGTGTTTCGATAGACAAATTCTTCCCATTTCGCATGTCTTTCCGATCTAATACTCCGTGTCTTTCATAGTTCTGTTACTTCTAGACAATCGATGCCGTTGTACGCGAGTATATTCGTAACCTCACACAACACAAATACTGAAACTCACTGGACAATGGATGAAAATATGAACCATACTTGTCAGTTGACTATGATGCGAAGTTGTGTTTGATTGTCCACATTTTTATAACAACTGGTGTACATTTGTTGCTTGCAATCTAATATGATTAGTCTATATAAAAAAAAATCTCGCTTTTTTATTGAACAGTCTTCGTAAAATCTATTGATTAAATAAAACCATTTGCGAAAGTGATAACAAATGGTAATAGTTACTTAATTTTTCAGGCAAGTTGATGCCTCAGGATATTAAGTGCATTGAATGTGTAATGCAATAATATATATACGTATTTGTATTATTATGGTATCTTGTTCTATGCCATAACGTAGACGTTCATTATTATAAAATTAACAGCATGTTTAAGGTTTAATTTCATGTTGTGGAAAGTCTATGTATACAGGGAATTATAATTACACATGTCTTTAAAGCCCTGTGATCACTTTATCTACCAATCACGTCAATCTTTAGTTATACGTTGCTTGCCTAAAATGTTCAGAGACATATTTCGCCTGTTTCTTAAGTATTTTCTTTTGTGTTTTGAAAATATATATATTTATTTGTTTTAATGTGATTGTTAATGTTTTGTGCATTTTGCGTTTTGTGACCAGATTTGCATATATGTATTTCAATCCGTCTATTCCAGGTTCCAACTCCGAAAGTCGATTGATAGAATCAAGAATCCCCAGTCCACAGACAATGACGCTGATCCGAAATTTATTGCCTGCTAGAACTTACCACATCCAGGTTCTGGCAGAAAACGAAGTGGGAGTTGGAAAGCCGTCTTCTGTAATAACGGTGGTCACACAACATGAAGGTTAGTTCCTTGTGAGCAAACAGCTAAATATAGAATGGGCGTCAATAGATGTCACCTAGTATTCTTTCTCATTTAATACGTCAGTAACCAATAAATAACGAAATTTAGGAATTACTATTCCACTTAATACTAAAGACTTTAGTGTTTCAAAGAACTTCATCAATAAAATGATATATTTAAAATTATAAATAATAAAGTTATACAACCTCGAAATAAATAGTTAGAGTTTTTCATAAACGTTAAATGTTGTTATCTCTGAAGCAAAGACGTTTTAAATACATTTATATGTATATATACTGCTGAAAATGCACGAAACTATGATGTTAGTTGCAGCTACAGCCTTCAGGAAGAATGGCCAACAATTATAGTTTCAATTGTTACTCAGCTACAAAATACAGAAATGGGATCGCTAATTCGTTATTAAATGGAGCATAGATTGGTATAAAGGCGTAGTTTGGGGAGTTAGTTACAGTTGTTACGTTGAAGAAAGGAATGCCGAAATTTTTCGTTACGTTTTGTAACTCAGATGTAGTGTATCAGGTAGATACATGTTATTTTGTTTACTCAGGATATCAAATACAGCTAGAATTCGGTACGTAAGATAAAATAGAATGTCGGGTTTAACCAAAGCTACGACATGAAAAAGTAGGGTATCAGGTATAACCACAGCTTTTAGAGAGATGTTACACATTTAGAAGAAGGATGTGAGACATAGCTGTCTTACATAATGGTGTCAGGTATGGCTAAAATTTCTAAATGCCATAAATATAAGTTGTTAAGGAATGTTATGGCATAACAGTTCGTTGCGAACTTAAAAGTGTTTAATTTGTTGCAAAGTATCCTCATACACTAGCTGACCACTTTATACACTCATATCGGACAAAGCCGTCGTTAGTTGCAATAATAACTAGGACTAGACATATTATGGACTACACTGAAGACAAGAGTACAACACCCTGTAATACGAATGCCTTCGAAAGGTCCACTTTTCGAAAGCGCTTGGGTTACGGGGTTTCGTAACTTTGTCTTTAATTGTTTTTTTAAAACCTATTTGTTTTCCTAACGTCGCGAATGGACTACACTGGATGCTGTATAGTCTACTGGTTGATTATAATACTATTCGGTGAGAAGTATGGTTTACAATTGGTTCACAAATAGCAGCATATGATTAAGGTGGTGAATGCGATATCCACGTTCATTCCAAAAATGATTAATTAATTAAGATTTGGTAATTTTTCTGCTCAAGTAATATAATAAAATAACTGTAGCGCTCTTGAGACCAGCGTGGTGCGTGGTTACTTTGTCGTATTGATTGTCATCGTGAAGATACGGCATTGTTACACTTTAGATATTTTTTACCCTGAGAAAGGAATCAAAAGACGTTACTTATATTAAGAGAAAGTCCCCTACAGTAACCTTTACATAATTCCAATAGCTTGCATTGTCTGAACGACACAAACAAGGTCAAGTATTTCCTGTGGTTTTCCCCATATTATAAATCTTCGATCAATACTGAAAAATGATGGAATACGACTCACCACACAACGTCCTTCCAGTTATTCATTGTCACAGATTTCGTTCTAAGTACTACTGAAGCGATTATTTTATATTTTTATCATATATAAACTGTTTTGGACTGAATTTAAACTGCAACGTAGCATGTTTTTTTTATTTACTTATAATTGTATCCACGTTGAGTCCCGACTACTGTTGAAGAAATCGACCCAACGGTCTTTTATGTCGGTCAGTCACAGCAGCTGTCAGTCATAGTTTTCCTAGTGATAAACCTTTCGGTTTCCCTTATTGAAACGTTTTAACAATATATGTCTGAATATTCAAAGACCAATTAAAAAACAAAAACGGTTATTGATAACCGTAGTCTTACTACGAGCACCTACTATTACGCCTCTTTGAAAGTTGTAAGTATTCTTGAACTTATACCTATTGTCTTGTTGACTAACCAAGAAATGAGTAAACCTTAGCATTTAGAGGGTTTAATCAATCGTCTGACAAATCACACGATCAGACTATTTTTTTTTTTTTGTCAAATGTGTACCCCACTGCCATAGTTAGTAGATATAATCAGGCAGGAGAGTTGTCAGGCACGACATCAAGAATTATTAAAGTTCTGAATCAGGATCGCGTGAGATCAAGAGACTAGGAAGGTAGGCTTTCAGGGAATTAATATTCAAAGTTTTTATGTGAACTATTAGAGAGTTATTAGAAAACAGACCTAACAGGTGGCGTTTGAGCAGAGAAATTACATGGGGGAAAAAAAGGGCGTCCAGTACGTTTATGGATATTGGATTAATGTTTTTATCATGTATTATCCTTTTTTAACGCATTGCACAGTATATATATTTTAAAATGTCTTGCAACTTATGTTGTCAGAGCTACACATTTGTAAGGTACTACACAAGGTATAGGTACTTCAAGTTTACAAAAAAAATAACACTTTAATAAATACTATCATAAAATACCCACGTTTCGCTGCGGGGTCCAAAGGCCCCCTCGTGATTCACAGAGGCTCTAATGTACTAATCAATCTCTTCCATGATTCTGATTACTTCTATAGCTACACTAAAAGGGATCTGTAAACGAAAACAAACCCAGATAGGACACCTGCCGTGGTACCTGAGCACGAAAGTAACGTTTGGTCCCCCTGACTTGTGAGTGAGAGTGTGAACACAGTTTCAAAGCGCCCTTAAAATCACGAGGGATAGGGGACTGGGAACACAAACTCTGATGTCAAATTTGGGTTCAGTGACCCTGAAGACCTACTCTTGGGCCCCCATCACGCTTGGGTAACCGTCCGGGCGCGTTTTAGTCTATCTTGATATCATCTTAGTAGACGCCATATATATAAAGACGTCCGCCTGGCCACCCCCCGAGTCAGTCTCCCAAGTTTGATATTGTTAGCTCCAAAACTTTACGGGTATTTCGTGAACAAACAAATTTACAAAACACACAACGTGAATTAACACAAGGTACGTCGAACATAGTTTCGGTTAAAAGAGTAATTTTAACGACAAGATAGTAAACGAAGAACTGAACACACTACCCAAGGATGGGTTCTTGCTGACGTTGTGTTATTGATTTTTTCTGTGGACTGTTGTAAATGGAAACTTATTCCATAACTTCCTTCTCAGCGACAATGAAAAACGTTTGATTGATATATAAAAGTAAGAAACGAACCGCGCTATTCATCAAATAAAATGATGATGAAAAATATTATAATTTTTAATGTGTTCCTTGATCACATCATATTTCTGTGTTGTATTCATGCCTTATGCTCATTTTCATGAGACAGTTTTTTCCATAAGATCAGATTAACTGTGTGCCACGATTGATATCGTATCATTAAAGTATGTTTTTCTGGCAACTCTGAGTAATACTGCATCATAAAATCGTGTTTTGTTCTCTTGTAACAGCACGTTCTTGTAATAATGTGTTATCAACTTGTGTATTTTTGTAACTCCTTGAGTTATTGCATTATAATTTGATTTTCGTAATTCCCTGTATTAAATAACATTGAGAACTGCTCAGTCTAATAGTATTTTTATTTACGAATAAACAGTTATATTTATTCATAAATAAAGATATTATTCAGTGTATTATTGTATCATCAACTTGTGTTGTTTTTGTAACTCGTATTATTTTATGACGAAGTTGTGTGTTTTTGCAACCACTTATGTTATTGCAACATAAGATTGTTTTTATTTTCTTGTAAGTAAATGTATTTTTACCATAAATCTGTTTTCTGTCTACTGTTTATTATTTCATCTTAAAACTGTATTGTTAAATGAATAAAATGTGTGTTTTTGTAAACCTATGTATTAATATATCATTAGATTATAGATGTTTCTTTTTTAAACTCAGTTGAATATGGTGTCTTTAAATTGTTATTTCTATTTTAAATTATTGTCTATGTTATATTTTCTAGGAACGCCATATAAAAATGTTTCCCTTTGCAAATTAGAACAAGGAAAGATGCAGTAAAATTCTCTATATATATCCGAGAAAAGTGTTAATGGAAACTTGAACATATTATGACGTGTTAAACTTAGGCTTTAATTGCATTAAGCCAACGCTTTGGAATGTACTTGTAAACGAATTTTAATGTATTTGCGCTGTAAGGAAAGTTAAGCATTATAAACTGAGTAGACATTAATGTAATAACTTATTTTGCTGTTTATGTTTTATTGTATTACATTAGAAGATTAGTTAATATTCAAATTGTTTACAGTTTGAGGTTTTTGTTGATTAAATGTTTGTTTCTATCTCTTTTAAAAATATAACACTGGATATTTTCTTTGAATCTCTTAAGTAAGATTTTCACTTTTAATGTAAAAGCTGAGGTGCAAAGTTAAAAGAACACCTTGGAAAAAAATTGTTCTTCATCTACAAAGGGGTGATAAGTATAGTAACGTAACGTATTGTGTGTTATTTTGTGAAGTCACAATATATATATTTTAAGTTTTTTTCGTAGTTATAGATCAACTATGTTAAATTTGACGTTTCAATGTAGCTCCAACCGGAAGGCCGAAAGATCTGGTTGTTTACGAGAAAGGAGCAACATATATAAAACTGGAATGGACGGTAAGACAAAGTAATCATTAAGTTAAACAAAAAATAAAGTTATAGAAGTTACAGTCTCATAACAACAACAACAGAAATTCTTAGGCCATGTTTTTGAATGTGTTTACCATGTTGTCATTCTGAGTAAAATCTTAAATATATAGAGGGCGTAGAGACCAAAACGATGTCTTGAACTTCTACTCATCAAGTCATGTTTTTATAAGGTGCACATATGAATCGAGAAGTTGATGCTTATTATTGTAATTTCAAGTCCATATGATGTATTAACCTTCTGTCCTTTCGAGCTTGAATCACAAATTACTCGTAAAGTAGTGAAAGTTCAAGTGCATCATTATCCTAAATATTAATTCTTCGGGAAAACCGTGATTATCACGGTGTGTTCTCATCTCACCTTTATAGGATTATTAGAGATTCCTATATAATAATCCTATGAAGGTGAGATGAAAACACACCGTGATAATTAGATTCCTATGTAATAATTCTTTGAAGGTGAGATGAAAACACACCGTGATAATTAGATTCCTATATAATAATCCTATAAAGGTGAGCTGAGAACACACCGTGATAATTAGATTCCTATATAATAATCCTATAAAGGTGAGCTGAGAACACACCGTGATAATTAGATTCCTATACAATAATCCTATGAAGGTGAGATGAAAACACACTGTGATAATTAGATTCCTATGTAATAATTCTATAAAGGTGAGATGAGAACAAACCCTGGTAACTAGTTTCCTATCTAATAATCCTGTGAAGTTGAGATGAGAGCACACTGAGGTAGCTAGTTTTCAATGTCATGATCCCATAATGGTGAGATAAGAGCACATCCTGGTAACTAGTTTCTAATATAATAAAATCTTAAAGGTAAGATGAAAACACATCCTGGTGGCTAGTTTTCAAGGAAATAAATACACGCAAAACTATAGTTATCAATGAAATATAATTTTAGTCAGTAAAAATTCCCATAAAATGTATTTAAGTTTAGAAAGGATACACCCGGTTAACTGGATAGTAGATAAAGACATTCTCGGATAAATGACAGATTTGATATAATGGTTAGAGCTATCCTTATATTCATGTGAGTAGTGGAGAAAGCTAGTGTGCTACAAGTGATAAGTAGAAACACTAATTGTAATGGGATCTAATTCAAATCATAATCTTTATTATAATGGTATACAGTTTAAAATACCAGGAAAAACATGCAACATAAGAAACAATACACACCATTGTTAGCAACAATGAATGTAACAAAAAAAACGACACAAAACACAACATCAGAATGTTTATCTGTGCATTATGGTAAAAGACAATACTGAGCGATTTACACTACACGCTAATACAAAACCATATTACAGAACAAAACTTGATGAAACTGTGGGTTTAATCTTGTGTTCGTTCGGTCGCTTTATCTATTTACTCCATCGTTTCTTATCAGTTTTTTTTTCTTTGATAAAACTTAGTTTGACCCAGGAGCAGATGCTTATGTAGACATCACAGCTTTCTATGTTGGTTACCGTCCTACTGGATCAAGGCATCCTTATGTCTATCGTCAAGCCACCGCTGCGAAACGAAAGATCACTGGAATATTGAGTGATCTGCAGAGGTCAACCAGCTACAGTGTAGTGGTTCGAGCTTTCAACAGTGCAGGGTTGGGAGTCCTGTCAGATCAACTTGTGGTACACACAGCTCGAGGAGGTGGGTCATGAATAATTCATAAGTTATCGCGGGGAAGATCAGTCTTATCAGGCATCACAGTGTTAATTCAGGGGGGGGGGGTCTTCTAGACTATGAATTGGAGAATATTACCTTGGTAGTTGGTGAATGTTATTTTGTAGACAGTAGATTGATACACATTGTCTCGATGTAATTGGTAAGCGTGAGTTTTTTTTTCAGATCTTTTGCAGTTTATAGAAGCTAATTGTGTGTGAAAAGCTTTGTTGCTTTTTGGATACTAGTAATTTATAAATAATCAATCTTACATGCACTTTGTGTTGTGTCAGGCTGGTTATAACAGGTGATGCTATATGCGTCTAGTGAGTTGTCCTGGACAAACTACTGGTATAATCAACTTTTCAAGGTGAGTTGCATGTGAATATCTAATATGAAACTAAATTCGTTGTGGTGAGTCGTGTCACAACAGTAAGTGGTACACATGGCTCAATTTAACTAGTAGTACATATATAGCTTTTGGAAGTGAAACATGTCTAAACAGCAGGTGGTACACATGACTCCTATTGAAGTTAACTGTATAATAACAACGTCCACGTGGCCAATGAGTGTGAGGTGTTTCACATTAGCTAAAGCATATGAACTAGTGGAGGTAAGGTGTGTCCCACCAGCTACAGGTATATGTAGCTAATGAAGGGGAGGTATGTCACACTAGCCAGGTATATGCAGCTGTGTAGATTAGGTGTGTCTCACATCTACATATATCTGTAAGTAGTGTCGCACCAGCTATAGGCATATGTAGCTGTAGAGGTGAAGTGTTGTCCGACCACCTATATGTATATGAAGCTGTGGAGTTTAGGTGAGTGTAACCAGCTACATGTATATGTAACTATGGAGTTTAGGTGTGTGTGTAACCAGCTACATGTATATGTAGTTGTGGAGATGAGGTGTATCACATTAACTACAGGTTTATCTAGCTGTGGAGTTTAGGTGTGTGTGTAAAACCAGCTGCATGTATATGTAGGTAGTGGAGATGAGGTATGTTGAATTAACTACAGGTATATGTAGCCAGTGAAAGATGAAATGTGTTCCACTAGCTACTGGTATATGTAGCTGTGGAGGCGAGGTGTATCAGACCACCTGATGGTATATATAGCTCGTCAAATTGTTTGTACCATAACGAGCTAGCTGATGGTACACAATGCTTCAGAAGCTAGTCATGCCAAACTACTTATTATTGAATTGCCTTTAACCAGCTAGTAGCACTAGATGAGTCATATCATGAATTTATTGAAACATTTACACACAATTAGTACCAATCGTTTTAGACTAAGTAAAAACAATATGACAGAATTTGGGGCACACTATTTTTCAATGTTACATTTCTTTTCTGTAACTTTAAGTTCTTTTGATTAAGAAGAAAGAACTCTTAATATCATTCAGAACTCCCTGCCAAGCCCTCTGTACATCTACTTTCAACACAGGCCTCTTTTTTAAGACTGAAGATTTGGATCATGGGAAAGGAAGAAGGAGACGTGACAGGTATATTTTTTCTGATTTCGATTTTGACTCCAAACTTATATAATGCCCATAATTTAATAGAGAAAGAAAACTTAATATTTAGTAAGTAATTCTTCATTGAGCATGTAATTTCAGTTGTAGTTTCTATAATATCGTATTTTGTAGGTTAACTGTATATGATCACTCAGGAATCAATAACTGTTAAAATTTATCATTTCTGGTTTATTCATTTTACTTCAGACTGGTCAGTCAATCTTGAAGGTTGACTGTGTATAGTGCTGGCAACTGTTGCAAATTAAAAGTAGTTTAAAGATATTACCCATCTCCAGAATTTACGTATTTCTCCTATATTCGGTGTAATGTTACTTAATAAGCTGAAATGTTTAATGCAAAAATCAAGTTTCAATATATTTTTCTGTACAGACAACTATTCTAATATATAACTCAATACTTTTATACTCGTGAAATATAAACGAATGGACTTTGTTTGTTCACGCCATGTTGGTTATTAGGGTGTAATAAGATGTTGTTTTATCGAGTTTATGAGACACTAAGTCAACCTAACTCTAATGCATACAGTACGTCAGGTACTGTTCCATATTTAAATTTTTGTTTTCCACATCTTAAGCCTACATCATGCACTTGCGACGAGCTGGAGGCGAATGGTTGGAATTTCCTTTAACGGTTTCCTCTTCCAACGTTTATACAGTAGGGGGTCTGACATCAAGCGTTCAATATCAACTTTACATAACTGCCCAGAATAAGTGGGGGGAAAGTGGACCAAGTGATGTCATAACCTGTAAAACACAATCAGAGAGTAAGTGAAGCTTCGAATAATATGTATTATACTTTTTTTGGTGGGGTTAAAATGATTTGGTAGCAAGATGTTTTGTAGTAACTATAATTGTTTCTATATTTTGGTTTATTCACGCCTGTAATGTATAGGTTAAAATACTATATATATATATAAGCTGCTGAGCCAAATGTATCCACTCGTATAGTCCTAGATGTTGTAATTCAAGTTTCCTATACCATTAAGTAGTTTTATCCACAGTAATAGTTGGTTCGAAACTAAGCATTATGGCTGTTTCAATTTTGGCATTTTGTTTACACTTTGATACTACTAATCTACGTCTGTGGTGTATCTCTTGGTATTTATAAATTTCCTTAGCAGTGTGCTGCATGGGTCAAGTCACACGTCTATATACCTATTTCATGCACTCTTAGAACATAACAAAACAACAACATTAAACTTAGCAGTAATTTTGGTTTGAAATTGTATAACCCAAGTCGGGGAGACATAGGGCCATACATAACCCGGGGGTGTTCAGAAAGTCTTTTCTCTTCACCCTGCTCGTGATTTAAAATTTCGTGGATGGCTTAATTTTGATAGAAAAACCGGTAAGGAAAATATATATTTACCATGGATATTATATCTTTTTCTGGTCTTCCTCGGTTCTCTCGCTGCCTTTTGCTTGCTGCTTGCCAAATCTTAGAACATAAGGGAATGCACAAGTTCTAAAATATGAAGGAAACGCTTGTTCTTTCCAGTTGTTTTCTTACGAAATCAATATAAAGTAGTCGTTTTAAAATGGTCAAATTTATAAATAAAAGGTATAATTTTATACATTGTGTATTTCTGTAATAAGTATATGTTTATTTCATTGCCTCCAAAGGCAAGTTTTTAATATTCTTAGGGCTTGAGAAAGAAATAATTGTTAATGTTTTTTAAAGATAATTTTCTAAGAAACTGCCACTATACTTTTCTAAGATACAAAGCTGTTATATGTTATTAAGAAATGTTTCGACAGTAACAAATAAATATGAAAAAAATTAATATTGCCATAAATTGCTTAAGCAGTTACTTTGTTTGTTTGTAATTGAGCACAAAGCTACACAATGGGCTATCTGTGCTCTGCTCACCACGGGTATCGAAACTCGAATTCTAGCGTTGTAAGTCCACAGACATACCGCTCTGCCACTGGGGGGCAAGCAGTTACTTGCTTGTTTGTGTGTCTTAGAGCAAAGGTGTCCATCGCGAGGAATCAAACCCCGGATTTTAGCGTTGTAAATCCGTAAACTTACTGCCGTCCCACTGGGATACAAGTACTTGTCAACCAAATGTGTAACTTTCACTCTATAGAAACTTGTATTTTAGTTCATGAGAAAAATCTGCTCATAACACTTTACTATGAGGTTTAGTTCAAAATGGGCTCTCAAACTGTGTTACCATTGCCATAGCCACGAGAACTTTTCGGTGTGGGTTTGTGTATGTATGAAGAAGATGATAAATATCTTAATGTTTCGTACAGAAACGCAAGCGACCTGATCAGGCTACCAATGAAGAAAATTGCGTACTTACACAGAGATATCTTGTTATTAATGTGAGAAAAATGTTTAAACAGGTTTTGGGGTGGTTGATAGTAAAAACATTCTAGGAAATAGTATGTCAAGATATTTGTTTCCAAAACCTTGACCATTTTAACATATCTCGTCAGGCCTGAAAAATTCGCCTTCAATACGTATAATTGAGGAATAATATACCATTATCCTTTGAAAGCAAAATAGTAATAATATAAATATTTTAGAAATAGTACTAAATTCCTCAAGAAATATACAATTACTTTTTCAACAAGACAAGGATGTAATTACAATAGAAACACTTCTTTGGGTATTTAAATAAACCCACAGACATAAGGAGAATCCTGTATTACAATGTCCATATAATATTTTAAATACCTATACTTACTACTGTGTCTAAAATAAACAGAACAATACCCAATAAAATCTTAAATATTCTGGAGCATATCCAACCAGATCAATATCATTAATGTTTCTCCGTCGAGTTAACGCTTCAGTTGTACGACCGAACTACCAGCACAAAAGTTATTTTAACTGTAAATTTATCTGCATGAAAAAAATTACTGATTAATGAAATCCATTCCTTTAAAAGCAATAATTAATAAAGAGTTTATTAAATCCATAGCATTTACCTGACTGAAAGTTTCACTATGTACGTCATACAAATAATTCCTTTGATGTAAGATTCTTCATGAAAATATAACGAATCAATACCAAGATCTCTGTTTAACATTTATATTTCGAAGATTCCCGTAATTTTCAATAAAAGTTTATTTATTTTACAAAAATTTAACTTCTTTTTTATAAAACCCAGAAATTAGTAGAAATTCTTCATTGACAAAGCTAATTGCACACGTTTAAGTTGGAGTGTAATTAATGTTCTATATTTTTCAATACTTACTCTGCAAATAAATACTCCCAAGCCTTCATCAAGAACAGGTTTGCCATTTTAACTCAATTGCAAAGAGAGCAAATAAATAAATAATAAGCTATATGACTGGTATTACAAGGATAGCAATTTCTTTGAAAATAAGTAAATAATAAGATAAACAACTAGTATTACATAGGGAACAGTTTCTTTGCAAATAAATATATAATAAGCTAAACAACCGGTATTACAGAGAGAGAACAGTTTCTTTGCAAAAAACAACACAATAAGCTAAACATCTGGTATTACAGAGAGAACAGTTTCTTTGCAAAAAAAAAACAACACAATAAGCTAAACATCTGGTACTACAGAGAAAACAGTTTCTTTGCAAAAACCAACACAATAAGCTAAACATCTGGTACTACAGAGAGAACAGTTTCTTTGCAAAAAAACAACAACACAATAACTAAACATCTGGTACTACAGAGAAAACAGTTTCTTTGTAAAAACCAACACAATAAGCTAAACATCTGGTACTACAGAGAGAACAGTTTCTTTGCAAAAAAACAACAACACAATAAGCTAAACATCTGGTACTACAGAGAGAACAGTTTCTTTGCAAAAAACAACAACACAATAAGCTAAACATCTGGTACTACAGAGAGAACAGTTTCTTTGCAAATCAATAAATAATAAATTAAATATACGGTTAATTTTTGTCAGTACAGTGTTCATACGCGGATAATATAAATCTGACGGGTCAGTGACATAGGGTTTTAGGTCTTGCTTACAAAAACCATACTATGAAATTCCTTAAATATACAGCTTTAGCAATCACGAATAACACACAAAAGCGGTTACAGTATGAGCAAATCTAAACATACAAAGAATGGTTGACACTGCCTTTATCCCCCTGTACCCTAGTTGGCTCTTGAGAAGATAAAAATCACCTTAAATAAATGTTTGTTGGAATTTTATTTGAACAAGAAATTTATAATTTTGGATAATTTTTGTATCATTTGTTGCACGGCTTATAAGCTCATTAATTTAACTAAACAGCAACAACATCAAAATTTTAAACTTAAACCCAAGAATGAAAATAATATTGTTGATATTATTTACAAAGTCACGTCTTTCATGATAAAAAAACAAAGCATTCAATAAATTAAATCTTCACGTGTTTGTACGTATCCTCCTTTGATTATTTAGTATCAATATTTGCATCAATTCTTTATTTTAAACACAGTGTGATTTCTCAATAATTCTCTTTGAAGAGAAAGTGAAGAGATAGCAAATGCACATTTTATTCTTTTACTTATAACACTTATGGGCCAAATGATGTGCATCATGTTTGTAAAACCTGATTTACATTTCTCACCTTTTAGGTTCAACGTATTTCCTAACCCTGGACTCTAACGGAGTGAAACTTTTCACCAAGCTCTCGGTAATTATTCCAGTGTCAGTATCAGTCGTGCTGGTGATTGTGGTGCCCATCACGGCCTGCTGTTTAATCCAGAAAATTAACAGTCGACCTTTTCCACGAAGAGGTACGTCTTAAGTCATTTGTAATTTAACTTTAGTAAGACAAGTTCACCACTTACCAGTTTGGTACTGTAAAGAATGATTCCATTTCTGTGAATCATCATTCTCTATTTTACTCCCAGTTCTTGTTCTTGTTCCTTTCCTAATATCTTATATATATATATATATATATATTACTGACATTGATTCAATAATGTCAAAATTGCTCATGGTGCAATGCTACATATTTTTGCTGCTTGGGTTAGAATAGTATCTAGTCTGTTTGAACTCTCACCTGCCCCTGAAGAATACTGGTCTAGCTGACTTAAGTTACGATTTTACGGAAACAACTTCGATTGCCACCTCACAAATTAAATTTTGTTTGATTTTTAAAATGCTAAACTATTCTCTGAAAACAGTGCTCTGGGTAGTTTGGTTGTACTTAGCCCTAAACGTAACTTTCTTCCCTTTAATTAGTTTGTATATACATAGAGCTAATCCTTTGTTCTTCAGTGAAAACTAGTCAGTAAAAAAAGAATAAGGGTTGTCAAGAACAATAATAAAATAGACGTGTATATTTAGTGCACAGAAACACCTCTGATAACTCAGATGAAGCCAGCCATCTGCTCCAGTGTTTACTAAATTATTTGTGTGAAATTGCGTATAAAAGTTGTTTGATAAACCTCTAAGAAAATTTAAACCTGTGTGTTTGTGTCGATGGCACTGTTTCGGTCACAAACCAATGGAACCATAAAACTGCTCTTCAATAATATGAAGGAAAAATATATTATATTAAACTAAAAAAAAATCATATTGTAGTAATTCTGGACATAGTTTTTTTTTCTCACAAAAGTCTGTATGGGCTGATATGTGTAATCATAAATGTTCTCATATATAGCACTTTTTGTGTTTTTACAGTAAGCAAAATATATTGTTTATTAAAAAGGGTAAAATTAGTTATCAGGTCATTTGCATGGCACTCTACCAAGGGGCGCCACACAGTCGACCTCAGGCAATGGGGAGAAAATAATGTTACAAGAGGCGATGATGTCATATTTCTATGAAGTGGAACCAATGGGAATTGGTGCCATGCAATGATGTCACCAGAGAGGATTATATCCACGTAGTGACACCAGAGGGCGCGTTGCTAGAAAGAGTTTAAAATTCCATAGACTATAAGAAGCGAAATTATCACCAGTAGCTGTAAGGGCCCTTGCATGGTACGCCACCAGAGAGCGCCACACACGAGTCGACCTCAGGCAGTAGGGTGAGACAATGATGACACAGGAGATGATAACGTCATGTTTCCACGAAGTGGAACCAGAAAGGATTGTTGGTGTCATGCAATATCACCAGAAAGGATAATGTCTACGTAGTGTCACCAGAGGGTGTGATGGTAGGCTGCCATGGCAGACATACATGTCACCAAAGATGACGTCCACAAAGTGGATCAACTTGTCTCAACATGTAATCAATGGCTAGATTAAACACAGTCAGTATAAAACACTAATTCATTAGTTGTATATTTAATCATCCTTCCCGAGGATTTATACGTGAATCATTTACTGTCCTGAAAAGGACGCTTATTTAAATATCGTGCAATAATTTAAAAACTTACTGTTTCACTAATTTGTTTTTATGCTATCCATATAATTAGTTACTAAAAGTATTGTCTCAACATGTAATCAATGTCTGGATTTAATACAGTCAGTATAAAACACCAATAAATTAGTTCTATATTTAATCATACTTTGACATTTCCTGGCCATTTATATGTAAATCATTTGTTGTCCTGAAAAGAAAATTTACGTAGATATCATGCAATAATTTAAAACTTACTGTTTCACTAGTTTGTCTTTTTGCTAACCATATAACTTAAAGTATTTTATTTTACACTTGTTACTTTATAGTTTATCTTACATGACTTTTAGAAGGGTGTACAGTGTTACTATACTTTCAGGTTTAATTATGTTACAAGTAAAACCATTACTTTTAAGAAAATCTTACTGTCCAGTAGGATTTTAATAAAGCTGCTGTTTTGCTTTCACAAGTCAACAAGACAACTGTTATAACATACATATTATCCAGTATTTGAATGAGGCAGTGTAAATCATTTATTGTCCTGAAAAGGACACTTACTTAACATGCAAACTTACGATAATCTTACTGTTTCACTAGTTTGTCTCTAGCCATTAACTATGTTCTTGACAAAATATTACAATTTGTTGTTTCTTATGATAAGGGACAAGAAAATACATAACCAATTTGATTTAACATACTGATTACAGTTTTAGTTTCTATAACTTTATTCAACCTGAAAAGAATACTTTTTAACATACAAACTTACTACATACATATAATTTATGTTTCACTGACTTTATTTTTAACACCTAGTTAATAAACTCTGTAGCAAATCATGTTGTTAGATAATAATTGTGTTTAATCACTAAAATAGTACAGCATAAATCTTTGAGTACAGATATAACTGAACTTTCTTCTACATTAGAGATGTAACTTACATCACATATGTGTTCAAAACTATGTGTCAAGTAGGAAATACAGATTTGGATGTATGTGTGTTCTTTCTAACTGACGACGTCATTAACAATGAAAGCTATACAATCACCAAATAACACTTCCCCTTATTGGCTCATAGCTAATGGTATGTCCACCTTTTACTAAGGAGAGAAGGACTGATAGAATTGTGTGTTATGATGATGCAATAGTATATGTATGAGATTATTTTCCAGTTTCGTCGGGTTTTTTACCATTTTTTATCCTGTACAGTAAGTTATTGTATTTTAGTAATTTGGAGAGTGGAAACAATCTAATTTTTATAGAATTGTGTATAAAATAATCGTTGTTTTTAAAAATTGTGAATTTTTAAGATTGAACATTACACACATGCCAAAATGTTTTTTAAAAAAGAAATGTATGTTACAATATACATACGTTTAAAGGCTGACCCTTCATTCTTTCATCCATATAGTAGCAAAGCATCAGTCTGATCACTAGTGGTGAAAGGGACAGGGTATTTACATTTGAAAAGTGATCCAGACTTGACTGAAATTTAGACTGTTTGTTGTAGACAGATATCGATATCAGGATATGTCTGAACTTGTAACTGAACTTATCATCACTAATCAGAAACAGCTAAGTCTGTCACCATTTGAGTACATGCAAATATAATTCGTTGTATCATATAATGAAATTGTAAATCTCATAAATTTCACATCATGCTGATTATTTACTGACTTTTAAATTCTGTGACTTACAAAATCTCTAGTTAAACTATGGTTAAAATTAAATATATGTAGAAAATATATGGTTATGTATAGTTGGAATCATTTATTTTCAATAGTAAATATCATATAAATACATAAGTAGCAACAGTGTATTATAATTGTCCTGATCAATTTTTGTTTTCATAAATTTTTTATGTGTGATCACCCTTTTCCTTTAGTAAAATACATGAGTCAGATAGAGTGTTCTACATTCAAATGAAAGCATTATCTGTTTTAGTTAACACAAAACGTCAAAAGCTTTTCTAAACTTGGCATCCTACCTTGTATATTTTGAAAACCAAAGTTTATTGAGCTGTCTTGAATATGAAACAAGAAGGTCGTTAGACTAAATGTAAACAATGTTGATGACCAAAGTGAACTTTGAATTCTATCAGCCCCTCTCTACTTAGTAAAAGGTGGACATAAAATTAGCTCTGAACCAATAAGGGGGAAGTATTACTTGGTGATTGTATGCTTTCATTGTTCATGACGTCAGTCTGTATTTCCTACTTGACATTGTGTTTTTGAAAACATATGTTATGTAAGTTAAATGTCAAATGTAGAAAAAAGTTCAGTTATATCTGTACTCAAAGATTTATGCTATTCAATGTTAGTGATTAAACATGATTTAAAATGATTAAAAATGATTTACTGCAGAATTTATTAATTGGATGTTAAAAGTCAGTTTGTGAAACATGCATTATATGAATATAGTAAGTATATATGTTTAAAAAGTACCCTTTTCAGGATGTAAAAAGTTTTAGAAACTAAAACTATAGTCAGTATGTTAAATCAAAATCGGTTATGTATTTTCTTGTTCTTTGTCATAAGAAACAACAAATTGTAATATTTTGTCAAGAACATTGTTAATGACTAAAGACAGACTAGTGAAACAGTAAGATTATTGTAAGTTTGAATGTTAAATAAGTGTCCTTTTCAGGACAATAAATGATTTATACTGCTTCATTCAAATAATGGATAATATGCATGTTTATAATAGTTGTCTTGTTGACTTCTGAAAGAAAAAAAAAGTTTTATTAATATCCTACTGGACAAGAAGATTGTCTTTAAAATAATGGTTTTACTTGTAACATAATTAAATCTGAGCATTGATGACATAATAATATGTGGAAGTATAATAACATTGTCCACCTTTTTAAAAGTCATTTAAGATAAAACTATAAAGTAACAAGTGTAAAATGAAATATTTTGTCAAGTTATGGTAAGCATGAAGACAAACTAGTAAAACAGTAAGTTTTAAATTACTGCATGATATTTAAATAAGCGTCCTTTTCAGGACAATATAAGATTTACTTATAAGTAGTCAGGAAATGTCAAAAAGTATTATTAAATATAAAACTAATACTTAGTGTTTTATAGTAATGGTATTAAATCTAGCCATTGATTACATGTTAAGACACATTGATCCACTTTGTGGACGTAATCTTCTCTAGTGGCATGTCTTTCTGCCATGGCAGCCTACCATCGCGCCCTCTGGTGACATTATGTAGACGCCATCCTTTCTGATGACATTGCATGACACCAACAATCCCCTCCAGTTCCACTTCCTGGAAACATGACATTATCATCTCCTGTAACATAATTGTCTCACCCCATTCATTGCCTGAGGTCGACTCGAGTTTGGCGGTCTCTGTTGGCATACCATGAAAGGGTCTTTATAGCTACTGGTAAAGAATTGTGAATCCAAAAGTGTTACTGTTAATCAAATAGTTTTTGTGTTACATAACAGTCAGGTCTGGCATCGCCAGGTGGTTAGGGCACTTGACTCGCAATCTGAGGGTCGATGGTTGGAATCTCCGTCCCACCAAACATGCTCGCTCTTGGTAAAGTTCTTGGTAAAAGAGTAGCTAAAGAGTTGGTGGTTGGTGGTGATGGCCTTCCCTCTAGTCTTTCACTGCTAAATTAGGGATGGTTAGTGCAGATAGTCCTCGTGCGTGAAATTGTAAACAAACAAACAAATACACTGTATAATCAGAATATTTTATTTTTAATCCTTCTGTAAACAACGGACTGCTGGGAAAATTTTAATAAACTGTAGAGCAAATATCTGTTCTAGCTAACAAAGAAATAAAATGACTTTTTAAAATATGTGCACAGCACCAGTAGTAATGAAATGTACTGTAAAATCACAGCTCAGTTCAAAAGAAAAAAATTTAATATAAACATTTTTCCAAACCGTTTGTAGGTGCACAATATCAGTGGGAGTGTACATGAAGTACACAAGTTAAAAGGTGGCTGTCATTACACACGAAAGATGATTCGAAATCACACAGAAAATGCATTGTAATAATAAATTAAATGTTAAATACATGTGGCACCAGAGTATAGAGAATTTGGTATTTCATAAACTGAAACTATTCCTCAATATAAAACAAAGCCTTCTTTGCACCGAACTAAAATAATTTGTGTTAAAATTATTTTAAGAGAGGAGAATTATTTTTCTTAAATCTAGAAGCGAGAGGTGGTACCTACAGGTAAGATTTGTCTGAAAAAAGTAACAACTTTTTAACTAAGCAGTGGTTTTGTTTGAATATTTCGAAATAAAACCCACTACGGACAAATAGTTTTACTAGAATGTTGACTGTAATTGTCTGTTTCATCTCATTAAGTAGTTTCAACTGAAAAGAGAGTTGTTTTTCGCCATGTACAAGTAGAAAGGTTTTGCACTGGCGTCAGAAAAATCACGGGATCTATAGTTTATCCTGCTATACGTATATTCGTCTTAGAAGAAAATTGACAAATTTGTCTTTTCATATCGTGCTGTCTGACCCCGTAAATCAAGTCAGTGATGTGCATAAAGAAAGATATATCAATAATCTGAATAACCATAGAGTTTCGGTTCCAGGTCTTTCCAAAGGCGATGTTTGTGCCATTGACAGCATATAACTCTTTACCGAATTTTATATTGATATTGATTATTATTGATTACTACAAGGGAATGTTTGACGTCCAGTATGTCTACATTGAATGAACCAGGAAGTTTGTGACGTCACGTACAAGACCTCCATTAACCATTGCCACCTTCTTGTTTGTGATATCTTTATAATTAACAGTTTAATTCTTTCAGATATATGTTTTGTTTGCATTGTCTTAACAGTCAACCCATGACAAACCATCTATATATATATATGGTTTTCTGTAAAAAATAAACAATAAGCGCTTGTTACTGAAAGGCCTCAATATTCAGCAATCAATCAATTTGAGTCACAAAGAAACCAAACTGCATTTATAATGAAGAGCACACGTTTTCTATACAATGTAAGATCGACCCACTGCCAGGGTGTACAGGATCTCTGTATATATATATAATTAACGGTCGACTTTAGTTCAGAAAAGAATGCTTTGTGTGTATAATTAACAATCAACTCATCTAACAGCGAGGCACTTTTTACTTTTATGTTGATCGCCAACTGTTTTCTTGAATATGATAGTTTCGTTGCCTTTATCGACATATACTATCACAGACAGTACATTGTATTTAGATGTACAGTGATTGGTTTTTATTACGTCACTTCATCTTTGAAGTTGATTCCATGTAAATATTCAAGTGCGGGTGGATACATTGCTTCTGTGCATTTGCAGTTGGTTCCTAGCATTTAGAGTACATTGTTAATATGTTTATACTTTGGATCCCTCAATTTTAAAGTCACGCTCTCTTTTCCACGTTTAGACGATATTCTGGGTATTGTTGTAGTTTAGCACAAAACTATACATTGGGCTATCTATGCTCGGCTCACCACGAGTATCGAAACCCGGATTCTAGCGTTGTAAGTCCGCAGACATACCGCTATGCCACTGGGGGGCTATTTTGGGTAGAAGAGAACTCTATTTTGTATATATATATATATATTATTGTGGATCTTCATAGAAAAAAAAAGCTAGAACCTGTTGTCACAAATAAGGGTGCCCCCCAGTGGCACAGTGGTATGTCTTCGGACTTACAGCACTAGAAACCGGGTTTCGATACCCGTGGTGGGCAGAGCACAGATAGCCCATTGTGTAACTTTGTGCTTAACTTCAAACAAACAAACACAAATAAGGATAATATTATATTAACTTCACACGAAGACAAGGTTTTATCCAAAATAAAACCCTCTATGAAATTTAAAAAAAAATAGAGTTATTTCTAATATTTAGTTAGTGCAGTGTTATATTTTATGGATTTCATCGAAATCAAGATTTTGTAAAAAGCAACGGCAATACTTTATTCTTTATTGAATTCTACTTTTAATACTAGATGTGTAAACATTACTTACCAATACGTTTTGTTATTGTTTTTTTAGCTAGCTAACATTACATTGTATTTATCTTCACGGTCTTTCTGGTAATATTGCCCGAAAGTACAGTATCGCGGTCCGAACCTTGGGGTCGTGGGTGCAGTATAAATAAACACCAATACTGATCAGACAAAATTAGCCAAAGTAGGGGGTAGGTGCTGTTGACTAGCTCTCTCCAGTTTATTATTTCACAATTAGAGGTGGCTATGTGCAGATAGCCCATTGTGTAACTTTACGCGAAAATTCTGAAACAAACAACATTACGTATTAATGACTTAGTCTGTAGACCAAGTCTTCTACTTGAGTAGATAAACTTCTCATGAAAATACTTGTTTCAGTTATATTCACATTATATGACAAATATATTTTCATTGGACTAGTTTCTTTTTCCAGAGAGTTTTGCTAGTTTGATGTTAAGCACAAAGTTACCCAATATGCTATCTGTGCTCTGCCCACCACGGGGGAAGTGAATTACTCCAGAGAGTAACTTATGATAGGTAATTTTTGGGGCCATTAAATGTATCGCTTTTCCCTGTGCCTTTTATTATTATTGTAGTCTAAAGGACCTAAGACGTCATATCTTATATATATATTTATTTCTGTTTATGGGCCTAGTATGGCCAGATGGTTAGGACGCTCAACTCGCACTCTGCGGGTCGCGGGCTCGAATACCTGTCCCACCAAGCATGCTCGCCCTTTCAGTCATGGGGGCGTTATAATGTAACGATCAGTCCCAATATTCGTTGGTAAAAGAATAGCCCAATAGTTGTTGGTGGGTGGTGATGACTAGCTGCCTTCCCTGTAGTCTTTCACTGCTAAATTAGGGACGGTTAGCTTTGCGCGAAAATTTAAAACAAATAAACAAACTTTCTGCTTAACAGAGCACATCTGATTATCTAGTAGATATTGACTTCTTCTTTTGGTTTCGTTTTTACAGAAGGAATTGAGACGCGAGACTTCATCTACACCCCAGGCCCGTCCAATCGACCTGACATAGTAGCGTCGTCGCTGACCAGGAGGTCCCCTCCCCGACCTTGTCAGTCCCCCTACTCCAGACTCACCATGTATGGAAGTGAATTCAGTGATGATCTTCGATATGATATAGTACTGGAGGAGATGAGGACATTTGTGGAAAATAACAGAAGGACAACGTGAGGTTCACATTTGGAAAAAAAAAAGTGATTATTTTAGCTGGTTTGGAACAGTTGTTTTCGGCAGATTGTACAGAATTACTGTTTCTTAGTGTGGGAATTATAATACGTTTGTTATCGTTCCTTTGTTTTTAATAAATATTTACATAAGAGCGATACGAACAACCCGAAACATTTTACTCATCTTCCAGTATTAGCTTAACATTTATTATTTTTTTTTGTAATATTAAGTTGATAAACTTCTACACATTTCTAATATGAAAGACCCGGCATGACCAGTTCGCCGGTTCAGATCCCCGTCACACTAAACATACTCGCTCTTTCAGCCATGAGGGCGTTATAGTGTGACGGTTCGTAGGTAAAAGAGTAGCCCAAGAGTTGGCGGTGGGTGTTGATGACTAACTGCCTTCCCTCTAGTCTTACACTGTTAGATTAGGGACGGCTAGTGCAGATAGACCTCGTATAGCTTTGCGCGAAATTCAAAACAAACAAATCGAATATGAAAACATTACTCTTACTTGTTATGCACACAGTGAGATATTTATGAAACATAAGTCAATTTAATTAAATATTTTGTTAACCAAGATCTGCTAATATTGAATAGTTTCCACCGAAGATATTTCAAAAGGCTTATAAGCCAATCCTTTTCCAGACAAAAATATTAATTCTCCATAAATACAAGTTCAATAAAAAAAAAGAATCAACGAGCTACACATACGTTGCAAGGAGTTTTGAGATTTGAAGGGAGGTAGTGAAATTTTAATCGAAAACGACTTTTTTTTCTTTTAAAAATAATTATGTCATTAGTACAACAATATGAAAATACTGGTTTGTATGGAAGTGTTATTAAAAAAATTGTAAGCTATACAAAAACTTAATATATCTTTAAACAGTTTTTTTTCAGTAATGTTGACTTGATGGAGGAAATAAGCCCTACTCTCTACGTCATTAACTGACAACCATGTAGGTGTCAGTAATATAAGTAAACATCAGAAAAAATATCACTGCTCTCTGTTCACTATAACATAAGTATATCTTTGTTTCATAAAAGGCAGGTATATCGTATAAAAATTGTAAAGATTATATCTAAATTTCTTTATTATATCGTTTATCTTTGCCTAATACAGAAGCAGTAACACGTGATTAAACGGAATGAAAGAAGTTATAAGTTATAACTATTCCGTGCTTATAGTGACAGTCATCGTTCCTTATTTTTTGTGAAGCCTAACTTTCATAGAATTCAATTATCTTTATTTTTTTTAACATAAAGTGTTTGTATTCTAGATTCATATAATCCATCCACATAGAAATTAAAACAAGAAATAACAAATATTCCCCGATAAACTACAAAAAAACAAACTAAACCTCTATTTTATACGCAAAGCTGCCTACACAATGTGCTATCCTCATTTTACTAGCAACAAGGATCGCTTCATGGATTTTAATGTTATGAACCATCAAGGTTATCGCTCAACCAGCTCTTATCCACATCGTATATGTATACCAGCACCATATTTAGATATTCATAAGGAATTAAACATCAATATAACCCACCCACCCTCTCTGATGATAACATTAGCAGCTAGTTCACTATACTATTGGCGAAACATATTGGATGACTAAAATGTCGACCTTCTATAGATACGATAGTGTACAACATATGCCTATAATCCAAAATGGCGACCTTCTATAGATGTGTATACATGTTTCTTTGATTCAAACTGGCGACCTCCTATAGATGCTTATACAACACCTTCCCTTGACCCGAGATGGGGACCTTTGATGGATGCAACCATGATGAGGCGTCATCCGTAAGATTTTTGGACAATCTTGATGCAATCTATAAGATTCTTGCTCTTCGTTGCTATTGAGATTTTAGTTTAAAGACCCACTCTGGAACATTCGGTTACTTTACAAAATAAAGTAGAAATGTTTTTTTTATGGCTATTAGATGACTTTAGTTTATAACCATGTCACTAAGTCAGTACATCAGCCTTATGGATGTTAAGCTAATGTTTTGTTTAATGACATAAGAACCTTAAGTATACAGTAACCTCCAAAGTAATATTGACCACAATGTTGGATATACAAAGCGTTCATTGTGAGCATTTGTACCCATTCACACCCACACATACTTAACATAATTTTTTTCTATATTTTTGCTTCTCTTTTTTCCTAGCTTTGGGAGCTACTAATAATATGAACATTTTAACATTTTGTATTCATTCATGTTCTTTATTACTTTTATGATTCTTACGAGTCGCTCATGCATTACTCAGGATTTACACATAAGTATTTATATTCTTAATTTATTTCTAATTAATCACAAAATCAATGATCAAACTTTCTTTACAGCAGCTTGGAGCTTATCATATTAATCTACATCCATCATTTTGCATTTATTTTTTAGTTATGGATTTGTCAGTAAAATTATGTTCTTGTGGCTAAGAAAATATTAATGTTTTAAGGCCTTTTTCTTCAAAATAGTATTATTTGTCAGTAAAATATCATGTGTACGATACATTAAGCTTCTTTTAAGATTATTCATTCCTTTTCTTCCACTTCGATATCGTCGGCCCGGTATGGCCAGGTGGTTAGGGCGATCGACCCGCAATCTACGGGTCGCGGGTTCGAATCCTAGTCGCACCAAACATGCTCGTCCCTTTCAGCCGTGGGGGCGTTATAATGTGATGGTCAATCCCACTATTCGTTGGTAAAAGAGTAGCCCAAGAGTTGGCGGTGGTTGGTGATGACTAGCTACCTTCCCTCTAGTATTACACTGCTAAATTAGAGACGGCTAACTTTGCGCGAAATCCATAACAAACAAACAAATCGATATCGCCAGTTGGCGTTAGTAACTGTATATATCAAAAGTATTAAGGGACATTTTCTTTTCTTTTTCAAGTAACAACTTTTACATTACATTTTTTTTCTGAGATTCATCTTCTCCTTCAGAGCTATTATCACTCAGATCATCTTTTGTGATATAAATCCTTTCTTGGAACTGGTTTCGCTTGAAACATTAACCTAACAAAGATATAATTTTTATCAGGTTTGATCATCCTCATTGAATATTTTGTTATTATTATTTCACTCCCAAAATTACGTTTTTCATATATTTTACAAATAAAAAAAGTACCTCAAGTATAAACTATTATGATCATCTACATTTTAGCGCAAAAGATAAAGAAGTATAAACTAAACCTGGGAAACTATTAAACTTTTCGTATCCTAACGTCATCAACAACCATTTTAATGTATCTAAGTCATACAGTAAAAAAATCAGAAAATCTTGCTTGCCATAATGTTTACCTGTACTAGCTCCTTCTATAGAAATTCAAATAAAAAATCCTTCTTTCTGTGATGTTTATCTATACTAGCATCTTATAAAGACAATAATATTGAACTTAACGCACATAAATCCGTCTTACCATGATATTTATCTGGACTAGTGTCTTCTGCAGACGGTTTATATGAATGGAACTTAACACCTCAAAAATCAATTGTGCAATAATATAATTCTATACTAGCGTCATCTACAGACAATAATATGAAATCCAATACATATAAAATTCTGTTTACCATGATATTTATCCGAAATTTTCAAACAGCTATCTGTGGGATAACAGATTTATTTCTCTACAACGTTTGGTCTCTAACAGTGAATCGTGATCACGTACAACATTTAAAGTACAAGTATATTCAAGTTGCAACTACATACAACCAAATAATTCGGTTTATCATACTGGCGCCCTCTGGTTTTAGATGTAATTAAATATATTTGGAACTTGAGCATATTTGTACTTTATATGTTGTAAGTGATCATGTCTCACTTTTAGAGACGAAACGTTATACAGAAATAAATCTATTATCCCTCAAATAACTGTCTCAAAACTTACAAGTTTCGTTAGTGAAGTGGGTACCTCTTAAAAAGTAAATTATATTTGTCTCTACTAGCGTCATCTACAAACAATAATACGAAACTTAATACATAACAAAATTTGATTAGCATTATTCCATCCATAGTAGCGTATTATACACAGTTATATGAAACTTAACGCAAAAAAAAAATCCTTCTTATCTTAATGTTTATGAATACTTGTATTTTCTACAGAAGAATTACATCAAACTTTAAATAAATTAGCTAACCTTAATGCTTAGAAATATTAGTGTCTTCTACATCAGATTAAATAAAATCTTGCTTATCTTAATATTTATGAATATTAGTGTGTACTACATAAAAATTACATCAGACTTTAAATGAAAAAGATATTGTCTTCTACAAAAAGTATTAGATCATACTTTAAATAAAAAAATGTAATTATCTTAATGCTTTTGAATACTAGTGTCTTTTACAGAAAAAAAATTACATCAGTCTTTAAATATAAAAAATAATTGCCTAATGCTTGTCTACAGTTGTGCCTTTTTACAGAGAAATTTTATGATACATAATATAAAAATGTCCTGCTTACTGTGATGATTTTGTATTTAAGAGTTCCTCTCAGACAATTCTATGAAACTCCAAATGTCGAGAGTAGGGCAAGATAACATAGCTATTACTTGTTCACCATTAGTTACACGCCTCGAGCGTCATCTAGAGGTAATCACATGCAACTAGACTCAGACAAAAAAAAAAAAACCAAGTATACTTATCTACTTCTTGTCACTTAGGGACAGTTACGTATCGAACAAAACAGAGATTTATCATTTATTTGGATGTTGTTATATTCTTCAGTTATGTTGTATATTACAAAATACTTTCAGAGAAAATGGATCTATGTTGTATTTACTTGAAAGTATTTCTCGAAGTAATATATGTTAGATCATTAGATCACTTTATCTATATCATATTCATTCCACAAACAGAAACTCAAAGTAAAGAGTAATATAAGTTTACTACGAAACTTAAAATGAAACATCATAAGAAGTTACAAGAGCCCCCCCCCCCAGTGGCACAGCGGTGTGTCTGCATACTTACAACGCTAGAAACCGGGTTCCGATACCTGTGGTGGGCAGAGCACAGGTAGCCCATTGTGTAGCTTTGTGCTTAATTTCAAAACAAACAAGGTTACAAGAACGTTTTATTTATTTTACCTTATACTCTCTCACCTAATACAAATTAACCTAAAATTGAAAATATTCATAAATATGTT